TTGGAGGGGGGCACAATTTAGAGTTTCGTTATTACCGCTAAACCGGTACAGTTGTGAGTGGTCTCAATCGATTCCTTGAGTCTAAATTAGTTAATAAACCTGTCTTTATTTTTGCTCTACATATCTTGTGAGCCGAGATACTCTAGTCCAAAGTTCAATTTACTAAGATTTCACGTTCGCTAGCATTGGTAAAAATGTCACGCCGAAAATGTTCATCTCACATTTCTTCTGTTAGAGGCGCTGCGAACCCATCGCCAAAGGCGCCACGAACGGGTTCGTTCATTGTCAGAGGCACCATAATTTGAAAGTTGTGTACGAGTGTGTACACGAGTTGACATATGTAGTAATGTTTTAATGTTACCAGAAAAAGTAGTGATCGGTGATTAGCTCATAAGAAAAGCCGAACGAGAAAACGAGGAAGAAAAAGAGGAAATCAAGATATGCGTAATATACGTGACGGGATTTTACTGCACATTAGAACAGATAAGTAGGTTATTGATTGTTGATCTATTAATGAAATTTATTTTTTAATTTTTGTGTTTCATTATTATACGTGTTCTTGTAAACAAAACAATATATTATGTCATATTGTATATTTGACATTTACAGGTAGCTGCATTTGATTTGACATTTACACATACTGCGTTGGGACATTACTATTGAATAGAAGCACAACAGATTCACTATCAGATAATATACAATACTATAAAAAATCTTTTATTATTATATATATTTCTATGTATTTATTTGCTCCTAACGAGAATATACCCAGACAGCACTGGACATCCAATAGATGTACGTTTCACGTCCAATTTACAGGTTGCGTGAAAAGTTCGCGGAGCGAAACTGAAATAAAGAATACCTAATTCTACAAATGATTTTATTCTTCAATATAGTCTCCATTAACTTCAATACACTTGGCCCAATGACTTTCCAATAATTTTATTCCATCGCGGAAGTGTATTTCTGGAAGGTCTGTGAAATATGCCTCTACGGCTGCTATAGCTTCTTCATTCGACAAAAAATGCTTTCCACGAAGGAATTGTTTCAGGTTTCGGAACAGAAGTCGCTGGGTGCCAAATCTGACGAATACGGTGGATGATCAAGCAATTTGTACTTCAATTCATTGAATTTAGACATTGACAAAACACTTTTGTGAGCAGGTGCATTGTCTTGATGAAAAATGATTTATTTGTGCTGCAAACCAGGTCTTTTCTCACGAATTTTTGCGTCCAATTGATCCAAAAGGTTACAATAATATTCAGAGTTAATTGTTTTACCTTTTTCCAGATAGTCAATTAACAAAATCCCTTTAGCATCCTAAAAAACTGATGCCAAAACCTTTTTTGCCGATTTTTCATGCTTCGTTTGCTTTGCAGCTGAACATCCAGCTTGAATCCACTGTAAACGTTCTGTTTCAATTTAAGATCATGGTGATATATTTAAGTCTCATCCATAGTTATACTAGGTGCGCAACTAAGTTTCCGGGTTTTTTCGATCAATGAACAATCGAAAATTTCAAGAGAAATAAAAAAAATGGTTTATTTAAAGTATCGTCTCTCGCTAGCTACACATTTTGCCATCTCTCTGGTAATACATGAATACTGCGACGACAAAACGACGCGTCTTTGGACCGAAACCATTCATCCAACCAATTTTGCACTTCTTCGAAATTGGCCAAGTGTTGCCCAACCAAGCCATGCGCCATCGACCGGAACAAGTGATAATCGGAAGGGGCCAGGTCTGGCGAATACGGCGGGTGCGGTAGCAGATCCCATTTCAGCGTTTTGATAGTGTCGTGGACGATGGAAGTGCAATGGCACGGAGCGTTGTCGTGCTACAATATCACTCGTTCGTGTCTCGTGTCCCATTCTGGCCGTTTCTCGAGCAATGCATGGTTCAAATTGATCAGTTGTTGTCGGCAGCGATATCCATTGACAGTTTCACCCGGTTTCAGCAGCTCATAGTACACGATTACTTTCTGGTACCACCAAACGCAGAGCATTGTCTTCTTTCCGAAGCAATTTGGCCATGCTGTCGATGTTGATGCTTCGTCAGGTGAAAGCCACGATTTTTTGTGTTTGGGATTCTCGAAATATATCCACTGCTCATCGCCAGTAACAATTCGATGCAGGAAACTCTTTCTTTCATGCCACAAAAGCAAAATTTCGGAACTGGCTCTTCGATTTTCCATCTGTCTCTCAGTCAACTCGTGCGGCATCCATTTTCCTTCCTTTTGAAATTTTCCCAATGGCAAATGGTAAACGTTTGGAAATACCTTGGCGAGTCATGTTTAATGCCTCCGTAAGTTGATCTTGTGTTTGCGTATCATCTTCATCCAATAACGCTTGCAGATCGGCATCCTCAATTGTTTTTGGTCTTCCGGAGCGCTCCTTGTCCTCAGTGTCGAAATCGCCACTTCTGAAGCGTTTAAACCAATCTTCACAGGTAGTTTTCGATGGTGCATGTTCGCCGTAGGCCTCCTCAAGCAAACGACGTGCTTCAGCTGCACTTTTTTTCAAGTTAAAGCAGAAAAGCAAAGCTTCCCGCAAATGCTGTTTATTTGGCACAAAACTCGATATATTCGTTGTTAGAAAACATATTTTTGCGTTGCGATATGTGTTGGTATTACGATTCGTTATTGGCAACAGATTTCCAAGTTATAAAAAAATACACAACTTCAGACATGTATGTCGACTACATGTGTCGTTAGCGCCATCCATGTGTGAAAGCCGGAAACTTAGTTACGCACCTACAAGGAGATGACGCAACCTGCTTCATCGATTTCAACACGAGTCATAGCACACTCGATAGCTATGATGCCGTGTATAAACACCCTAACATAATATGCGTGAATGCGTCTTTGTTTACGAGTAATTTGCAGTTAAAGTTTGACTCGCGGAGCCGTGCCACACATAGGGCGCAAGTTACGACTTTCTTTCACGAAGCCGGCGTGGCTGAGCAGACAGAGGCTCCCGCGCCGCGAACACTTTTGCGCCGACGACTGCGTTCGAGTCCCGCCGACGACTGGTTCGTTTTTTTTTCGTATGTAAAGACATGTTATAAATATTTTTATATTGTTCTTATGTATAATTCCTTTTTTTGTTTCTACGCTATTAATCAAGGCTAATTAGGAGAGTCAGGTCTTTCAAATATGAACACAACTTTTTTATTAATTACAATAAAATGTTTTTGTCCGTATCAAAACACATACACACACACACACATAAGACAAATATAAGGTACACAAATCAAAGTTACGTATTATAAAATGTGGTCATGCTGTCGCAACTCTGCGGATGGAATGCCGTATAAAAGCATGTAAAACATAATAGTTTTTTGCACCAACTGTACGTAATGAACGCATAATTTTTTGCACAAATACACTTTTGACTATGTATAGTTGGTGGAAAACATATTTGATTGACGTTGTAAAATACCTTGCGACTGTCAACAAAACTGGACGGAAATTGTATCAGGACATCTGCAAATATGAATTCAATATAATTGATATTGTATACAAGGCCAATAACAATACGTACAAATATATCTTTCCATTGCTCACACATTCAATATATTTACCTCGAAGATATTCTATTGCGTCCGTCAACTCTTCTTTCGTAATATCACATTTTGCTAGATTTTGCACATAGCTGATCGTTGCTACATCTACAAACGTGGTTTCCATTTTTAACACGAGTTTTTCACTGTTCACGTTACGAAGACTGCCCAGAGAATGAAGCGAGCACGTCACAAAACATGAGAATCCCTCTGCGAGAAGGGGAAAGGGAAGAGGGTTCCTTTCCACTTGTAACGGTTCTAACGGCTCTCGGGTTTCTCTCACACAAAATAATCACTGTCTGGCCATTTCTTTCCCATACCATACGAAATATTTATGCGAAATAGATTTACACGAAAAAAACATTTTATTGTAATTAATAAAAAAGTTGTGTTCATATTTGAAAGACCTGACTCTCCTAATTAGCCTTGATTAATAGCGTAGAAACAAAAAAAGGAATTATACATAAGAACAATATAAAAATATTTATTACATGTCTTTACATACGAAAAAAAAACGATCCAGTCGTCGGCGGAACTCGAACGCCGTCGTCGGCGCAAAAGTGTTCGCGGCGCGGGAGCCTCTGTCTGCTCAGCCACGCCGGCTTCGTGAAAGAGTGTCGTAACTTGCGCCCTATGTGTGGCACGGCTCTGCGAGCCAAACTTTAACTGCAAATTACTCGTAAACAAAGCATTCACGCATATTATGTTAGGGTGTTTATAAACGGCATCATAGCTATCGAGTGTGCTATGACTCGTGTTGAAATCGATGAAGCAGGTTGCGTCATCTCCTTGCTAGTAAAACGACGCACAAAATCGGTTTTATTCTTCTTAAAACGATCCAAATGACGCTGAGAAATTTGCTTTCGAGCGAGTTTTTGTTGAATTGTTAACGTATGCATTACCACTTTTCCAAACACCTTTTTCATTTGTAATTCTTTATGCAAAATATGCCGTACCCATCTGAAATGCCTATGGTATGAATAATTTCATGCGTAGTCACACTTGGATCTTCAGAAACAACAACATGTATTTGCTCAATGATTTCTAGTGTTGATGCGCTTTTTGGACGTCCACTGCGTGGATCATCTTCAATGCTTGTACGACCACGTTGAAACTCAAGTGCCCATTTACAAACCATTGATTTTGAAGGAGCAGATTCCCCTAACACATTTACCATCTCGGAATGAATTTCCATTGCCTTTAAACCTTTTTTAAACAAAGAACTCAGTCACTGTACACTGTTTCAAATTTTCCATTGCAAATAAATATACTGACACGTCAACTTTAATTGGTTTGTAAACACAGAAAGAATTGACAGATGGAAATGAAATCTAACCTAGGTTCATGTGAAGAGTGATTCTATATAACCGACTACAATTTATAATTCTACCGTTTACTTGTAGATACTGCTCCGCGAACTTTTCACGCAACCTGTATGTCCGTATGTCCAATTTACGTCCGTGGACATAAATTGGACGTAACAAGAATGTCCTTATTGAATATCGAACCTGTAGTACATCCGATATACCATCGGATGTCCTATGTCCGAAATTGTGACAAACGTACGTTCTATGGACGTCTTTTGTATAGAAAATGGACATATAACGGACGTCCAATGGACATCCGTGTGCTGTCTGGGTATTATTTCGTACTTCATATTTCACATTTTCAGATTGTTGTGTTGCAATGTTGGATCATATTTATTATTAAGCAGAAATAGAATCGATAAGTCACACCCAGGTAATACACCATCTAAAAGATATCTTTTATATATATTCTTGCCCAAAACAAGAATATGTTACTTCACATTGCATATTTTATATTTTCAGGTTGCTGTGGTAAAGACGCAGACAGCACCGGACATCCAATGGATGTACGTTTCACGTCCAATTTATGTCCGCATGTGCGATTTACGTCCGTGGACATAAGTTGGACGTAACAAGGATGTCCTTATTAGACATCGGATCTGTAGGACGTCTGATGTACGTCCATCGGACGTCCTATGTCCGAAGTTGTGACAAACGTACGTCCTATGGACGTCTTTTGTAAAAAAAAATGGACATATAACGGACGTCCAATGAACATCCGTGTGCTGTCTGGGGACAAATAGGCAGAATGACATATCGAACACTGCAATCTGAAAATGTGAAATGTATAGTATGGTATAATATATTCTCCTTATAGACAAATAAATATATATAAATACACATAATAATAAAATATATTTTGTATAGAATTGTGTGTTGCCTGATAGTGAATCGATTGTGCTTCTGTTCAAGAGTAATGTTCCAACACAGCTATCTGTAAATGTCAAATATGCAGTATGAGGTAATATATTATTGTTTTGTTATTATACATATTCTTATATATATAACAAAACAATAATACATTACTTCATATTGCATATTTGATACTTACAGGTAGCTGCATTTGATTTGACATTTACAGACAGCTGCGTAGAGACATTACTATTGAACAGAAGGACAACCGATTCACTATCAAGCAACACACAATATTCTATAAAAATATCTTTTATTATTATATGTATTCATATATATTTATTTGTCCATAACGAGAATACATTATTTCATACTGTATATTTCACCTTTTCAGATTGCAGCGATGGAACATATTTGTTATTATAAGCAGAAAAAGAATCGATAAGCCACATCCAGGTAATGCACTGTAGAACTTTATACACTTTAAAAGATACTTTTTATATATATTCTTGCCCAAAACAAGAATATGTTATTTCAAATTGCATATTTTATATTTTCAGGTTGCTACTGTGAAGACAAATAACATATATGTTCCAATGCTGCAATCTGAAAATGTGAAATATACAGTATGAAATAATATATTCTAGTTATGGAGAAATAAATATATATGAATGCATATAATAATAAAATAGACAACAGACAATATTCTATAAAAAAACATCTTTTATTATTATATGCATTCATATATATTTATTTGTCCATAACTAGAATATATTATTTCATATAGTATATTTCACATTTTCAGATTGCAGCGTTGGAACATATTTGTTATTTGTTCTTACAGCTGCAACCTGAAAATATAAAATATGCAATCTGAAATAACATTCTTGTTTTGGGCAAGAATATATATAAAAGATATCTTTTAAACGGTGCATTATCCGGATGTGGCCTATCGATTCTGTTTCTGCTGAATAACAAATATGTTCCAATGATGCAATCTGAAAATGTGAAATGTACAATATGAAATAATGTATTTTCGTTATGGATAAATAAATATATATAAATATATATAATAATAAAAGATATTTTTTATATTGTGTGTTACCTGATAGTGAATAGGTTGTGCTTCTGTCCAATAGTATTGTTTCAACGCAACTATCTGTAAATATTAAATCAAACACAGCTACCTGTAAATGTTAAACATGCAATATGAAGTAATGTATTACTACTTTGCTATAAATATATATATAATAATAGAACATTAAAATGTAAATATAACAAAACAATAATACATTAGTTCATATTGCATATTTAATATTTACAGGTAGCTATGTTTGATTTGACATTTACAGATAACTGTATTGGGACATTACTATTGAACAGAAGTACAATCGATTCATTATCACGCAACACACAATATTCTACAAAAAATATCTTTTATTATTATATGTATTTATATATATTCTTTTGTCCATAACGAGAATACATTATTTCACACTGTATATTTCACATTTTCAGATTGCAGCGTTGGAATCTATTTGTTATTAAGCAGAAACAAAATCGATAAGCCATATCCAGGTAAAGCACCATTGAAAATATATCTTTTATATATATTCTTACCTAAAACAAGAATATGTTATTTCATATTACATATTTTATATATTCAGGTTGCTGCTGTTAGGACAAACGTAGGCGAAATGACACATCGGCGTTTGAAATCCACTCTGCAGCACTTTACGAAGTGCGGACAGATGAGTTGAGATCATCGACCTGAAGCTCTCGTGCTACTGGACATCGTGTTGCAATAGCAATTTTTTACATCGCGGAAGTCTCAAAAGTATCAAGTTGTAGAAAATTTCTTACAAAAGTAAATTAGATGTTGCGTGGAATATTTATTGTATTGGGGACTTGAATAAGTTCTCGCTGTTTCCCGACAGATGGTGTTATCTTAGCCTTTTTGCATCGGGCAATACTACAGGCAACTTCATCGTGAAGTTCCACCATTAGGCTCGAAGTGACAATATATGTTATTCCGCCGAAGCGTAAACAACATAATTTTTCATACGTTGAACATGTCGAATTTCGTGCCAAAAAAAGAATATTTGCAGGAAATTTTACTGCATTACTTTTTCCAAAAAAAATCTGCAGCTGAAGCACATAGAATTCTTGTGGAGACTTACAGCGACCATGCTCTGTCGGAAACAACATGCAGAGATTGGTTTTGACGCTTTAAAAATAATGATTTTGATGTTGAAGATAAAGAACGCTCTGGCGCACCGAAAAAGTTTGAAGACGAAGAATTGGAAGCATTACTCGATGAAGACCCATGTCAGACGCAAAATGAACTTACAGAATCATTGGGAGTTGATCACACAACAGTTGCCAAACGTTTAAAAGCATTAGGAATGATTCAAAAGCAAAGAAATTGGGTGCCGTACGAATTGAAGCCGAGAGACGTCGAACGGCGTTTTTTCACGTATGAACAGCTGCTCCAACGGCAGAAAAGGGAAGGTTGTTTGCACCGTATCGTGACTGGCAATGAAAAGTGGATACTACGATAACTCGAAGCGTAGAAAATTGTGGGGTAAGCCTGGCCATGCATCAACATCGACAGCAAAGCCTAATATCCATGGTCCCAAGCTCATGCTCTGTATTTGGTGGGGTCAGTTGGGTGTAGTATACACAGTCTGTCTCAGATCCAATGAGACTGGTCTAAAAAAATACAAAGCGTTTATTATTTTGATTTTTTATTCTTGTTTATTCAAAATAGTCTTCTGAGTCCTTCTGAGTCCTTCCTCCTTCTGAGTCAATACAGCGCTGGAAACGTTCAACAAATTTTTCGAAAGCCTTTTTTTATACTCATCGGCTGGAATGGCCTTTAGTATGGCGGTTGAAGTCTTTTGGATGACCGGGATGGTATCGAAACGATTTCCTTTCATCGCCAATTTCAGTTTGGGAAATAGCCAGAAGTCGCACGGAGCCCAATCAGGTGAATACGGTGGATGATCGATAACAATGATGCCTTTTTTGGTCAAGAATTCACATGCCATGATGGCTTTGTGCGATAGTGCATTATCGTGTAACAAAAACCAACTGCTTGGCTCTCGATATTCCGGTCGAACTCATCGAATTCTGGCCCACAATCGTTGTAGAACTCCCAGATAATATTCTACGTTCACCGTCTGATCTTCTGGGACGAATTCACTGTGAACAATTTCCTTTGAATCAAAGAAAACGGTCAGCATTGTCTTGATTTTGCTCTTCTGAAAGCGTAATTTTTTCTCTTTTGGCTCTTCTGGTGACTTCCATGCCACACTCTGACGTTTTGTTTTTGGCTCATATTGAAAACAACACGTTTCATCACCAGTTACAATGGTTGACATACTTGCCGGATTTCTTCGGGACATTTTTAACATGTCTTTGCAATGCTGAACTCTCCAGTCTTTTTGGTCGTCTGTCAGAGTGTGTGGCACGAAGCGCGCACAGACCTTCCGTTTGCCCAAGTCTTCGGTCAAAATTCGATAGACTGTGCTTTTCGGTATCCCAGTTTCCTCTTCGATGAGTCTCGCAGACACACAGCGGTCGCTTAGAAGAATTTCTTTGACTTTCTCGATGTTTTCTTCATTGCGAGTGGTTTTTGGCGGCGGTGCTCGGTCATCGTCTGTAAGGTCCTCACGACCGTCACGGAATCGGCCAAACCAACGGAAAACCTGTGCATGGGACATGCATTCATCCCCGTACACATTTTTTAGCGTTTTGTACGTTTCTGCACCACTTTTACCCAATTTAAAACAGAATTTAATATTCGCTCTTTGTTCCATGTTAGTTTTTCGACCGACGTACACAAAGTGACTTTACATAAAATGTCAAATCACAGTGAAATATCAACCGAATTCGCTCAAATTTTGAGGTTAAGTAGATGAAGGGTAGAACATTCACCTATCATCATTCACTCATAGATGTCGCTGCGCTAAGAACTTTGATGGAACCAGTCATCGTATCTGGGACAAACTGTGTATTATGAGCTCCTCAAACCCAATGAAACCATCACAGGAGATCGCTATCGACTACAATTGATGCGTTTGAGCCGAGCATTGAAGGAAAGACAGCCACAATAGGAGGACGAAGAGAGACACGACAAAATAATTTTGTAGGATGACAACGCTCGGCCACATGTTGCAAAACCGGTCAAAACCTACTTTCGCTCAAATGGGAAACGCTCAAATGGAAAGTTCTACCCCGACCCGCCGTATTCACCGGACATTGCTCCTTCCGATTACCACTTGTTCCAATCGATGACTCATGGCCTGGCTGAGCAGCACTTCCATTCTTATAAAGATGCCAAAAAATAGGTCGATTCGTGGATAACCTCAAAAGATGAGTCGTTCTTTCGACATAGTATTCGTATGCTGCCAGAAAGATAGGAGAAAGTAATGGCTAGCGATGAGCAATACTTTCAATGACATGTTCTTTACTAACTTTTTTAAATAAAGCATTCATTATCACGAAAAAACAGCGAGAACTTATTCAAGTCCCCAATATATTATCTAGGATTGTGTAGGTAAGGGTAGTTAAAATTAATAATAAATAATGCATATGAGATAATGCATAATTCTTTTATAAGATTCACAAATAAAATTACACATATAATCGAGCTATATTAAATTATGCATTGTTGCACGATAAAATAAGTGAAGAGGACCGTCATATATCATTAATAAAATATATGACAGTGGTGGAGGTGGAGCCTCTTCTATACTTTTTATAATAACTAAACACTGTTCAGAAAACTGTAGTTACACTTATGATGTCCATTGTAGCTCTTGTAACAAAATCAGTGATATCCGTAAAAACTTACCTTACAAAAGGTAAAAAAAAGCGCCAAGATACGCGCGTGTCTGTATCTGTGCAAAGAACTTGTAGAAACACTTTGT